CCCCCAGGCCCCATCGAAGGATTTTTTCTAAGTGTTCGTATTTTTGTATTAATAATTATAGCAAACTAATGGAGTAATTTCACAAAAAAATTGAATATCAATTTAATAACAATTTATACCATGAAAGACATAAAAATCTATAATTCTCATTTATCTTCTTCGCCAGCGGGTTGTGGAAATGTTCTTTGAACTCAATGTGTCTGTAATTGTTTTCCTGTGCTTTGTCAAAGAAAAACTCGCGTGTTATTTCATCATCATATCATCGACTCAGTTATACGTCTCGCAGACGAGGGTTTAGGCCATAGTCTAAGATCTGGAAATATTAAAGGATGAGCACATACAAGGGGTCTGGTTGATCGATGGAGTTGTCAATTGGTATGTTTGGGTTTCCTTTCCATCGTACAATGTTACAAAACATTTCCCATATGTAAAATAGACGTATATTAACATCGAATACGAGTATAGTACCTATTCTTTAGCGTAACATGTAGCTACTCATCGTCACTTTTAGGTTTAACAGCTTCTTTCAGTTAAATATATTTTGTGCCAAACTCTTTTTTTTTTTAAAAAATTTTTTTCCGTTAAATGAACTGAGCTGACAAGTATCAAATGACAAAAAGGAGGTATCTATTAATGACGCAGTGATTAGTTTACACAATGAAAAACGCTATTAGTGGCTCGGCCAATACCCTGCACAGGGTGTTACGAAATGATAAAATAATACGGGCTTTGGGATATGAAAGTGTTAATAACAGTTAAGTACTTGTTATTATATTATTATATAGTTATTTCTTTTTACAATTTGGCCTCTATCTTACCTGACGGAAAGTGACGATGAGGTTAATGAGGTGGAGCATGCGCACCTAAATAATACCTTTTATTTTATGAAACTAAGTGACGGGACTAACAAGTCGGGCGTCTGGTGGTAAGCAACACGCCTGCCCATAGCAGTTGCACTGCAACTCAGAACTTTAAATCGCAAAGATCTGAGGGGCACTGCCACTGCGCCTGTCACAGATCTCTACTGCTACTACCTATTCACTCTCGCCTTGAAAAGGCCTAAGGTATACTGCTAAGGGAATAAGTCCGCAGACAGGGAATTTCAATCCATAACCGTTCGCGATATAAATATTTTTATTTGAACTTTTTTCCTATTTTTCATATATAATGTGTTGAAACATTTATAAGGAAAATCTATTGAAAATTGTTTTCAATAACATTTTCATTGTTGGCTAAAGTTGTTTAGTTACAGGAACATTCATATCCCAAAGTATTACCGGATCCTTTTGTATCACCCTTTACAGTATCGATTCGAAAAGGGAGAGCCCCCATTATGCTATCATGAAAGCCACTTTACAAACTTAATACGGCAAATAAACTTTATTTCTCTAGACAACCTTCCTCTTTTGACAGTCTTTATAGAAACATTTCGAAAAACAGCTTTAATAGGTTGTTTGGATCATCATTTTATTTCCAAGCTTGTAATATACATATAATGTTAGTTTTAGATTAATAACTCGTCACGCATCACGCGCACGAGCCACGCAGTGTCTCAGGGCATTTATTTTTTATAAATTGTGTTATTATTGATACAAAGATTGAACAAATTAGTAAAGTATCGAGTTTTTAGTATAGAGTTTAGGTTTTCGCGATTGTTAATCATAGAAAATAAAATATTTATTGTTTTTTCAAACAAACCTACGTTTCGGGACCTTTACAGGTCCCATAGTCACGGTTAACTGAGATGGTAAAGTCATCAATTAGTTATGTCTAATATGAATGCAAACCACTTTAATTTTTATCATAGTTACAAACATTGACTTACAAATTATATGGACGTCGGGTCCGCGCTAAAAAGTGTCCGAACTTATAGGGCATTAACATCGTATACAAAGCGTCATTCACGCTTTAGTCTTCGTTTGTTCGACTGACAGCGAAGCAAGCAAAATTAGACAGTACTGCGATGACACTACAATTTAAATTCAACGTTTTAGCTTTTTCATATTTCTTTACATGTCACTACGTTTAAATAGGTTGACTTGGGACATTTTTTTCGTGGTTTTTGTATTAGACCCGTCGTCCATTTATTTGTAAGTCAATGGTTACAAAAGTTATTAAATTAATTACCTCATTATTAAAATTTTCAAAGAACATTCCAATTCACGCTATATGTGCTTTACACGCTGTTTTATATTAACAATATGATTTTTTATTAAATTAAATTTGTCATTAACTAGTGAAATATTTTCACAAAAAATATGTGACTATTATGGAAGTACAAACATAAATATTTTACAAATTGAACCCAGATGGATCCAATGAATTTTTCTTAGTGTTTCAATCTTTGTTATAATAATTATAATAAACTACTGGAGTAATTTCACAAAAATAGTTATTTGTTATAGAAGACTGCAAAGTTGTTGTTTGACGCGAGTGCTCGTATTGAAACCTGAGCAAGCGAAGGATCCTAAGATTGAACCACGAGCGAAGCGAGTCGTTCAAAAATAGAATCCTGAGCGTAGCGAGGGATTCAAGACAGAGACGCAAAACAACCTTGCTGCCGAGCAAAACACACAACTTATCAACGCACTGTAACGAGGAAAATGGTAGACGAAAGAAAAGCAGTTGTACTATAGCAAATCAGTTTTAATAAACAAAATTAGTTGTCGTTGTCAACTTAATGTCAACAATAATAAGAATAAAATATACCAACGGATTTATATTATATAAATAATGTACGATAAATCCGTAGTTAAACGCGTCATTATGCTTTCTTTTCATCGAAAGAAAATGTCAGGTGTATCGCAGTTCATCGTCGTCGTTCAAAAATCTTTTCCTAGCTAGCGTGGTAAAAACGCTTTTGGGCGCAGATCACTTATGAGAAAAAAAGTCTTTCCGAGCTTGTGATGAGAAAAAATAATTGAATATCATAGTAGTAAAACATCGTGACATTCAATAAACTTAAAAATTATTTTATAAATTCTAAACTGGTGGAAGCGGAAGTATTGCCACCGTACCTATTTCTGCCGCCAAGCAGTAATGTGCGCATCATTTCGTTCCAGTTTTGAAGGATGCTGGTGAAACTATAGTCACATCGGTCTTGTCAACTTTATGTCTCAGGGTGACGGGCGCTGACAGAGCCTCGTGTCGTGACGTGCCGCAAATTTTGGCGATTTAAAGCTTTTAGTGGCACTTCAACAATTGTGGATAGGCGTGTCGCTTACCACCAGGGCACGATTTGTTCGTCCCGTCACTTTATATGATAATGACAAATAAAAATAAAAGTCACTGCAATTGAGAGGCACCGTGTCGCTCTAAAACGCTACAGTACCAAATTCATTACGGACGCCGTGTGTCTCTAGAATGCGTGACGGTATAATAAGTATGGCCTAAAAATTGTATTTCTTCATCAGCAATAGGCAAGCTTTTAACCACAATCTTTTCTAAAGGGAAGTGGTAGGCGACGATGTTCCATATTCGCATGGAAGATACATAACATTCGCTGTCGCCTTGAAAAGTTGTTTGTAATCTTCATGGGTACAATTAATCTTCGAATATAGTATTTGTATAATTATCATTTACTGTTTCGTTGTACTTTATACCACAAACGTACAAATTTATTAATTAAATAAAACACTTTTCACTCGAATCGATAAATTCGCCAAAAGTTGTTCAACGATTGTGATTCAATTAAAGGACCATCTGAATAAATTAATGGAACTTTGTCCTTTATCCCGCATAAATAAAAGAAGCATCATCCTTTTCTAGTTCAACTCTATACAACACAGATTTCGTTGAATATTTTCTTTCTGTTTGGAGAAAGGTGCTTTAAGTTTCAAATTATATTAGTCGACAAAAAAGTATAATATTACGTATAAACATTTCTGCTCTTACGCAAGTGCGTAATAAGTATTATAGCAGTTCATAACGCCCAGTCAGTTTACTCCCGAACATTTGAAGTAAGTAACTAATGTTTTTTTTTTATTAAAAGCATTGGTTTGAGCCATTTTTTCGCTTTGAGCCATGTCTTCATTTAATTATCGGTATCCTCAATATATATTTTCCATTGTAGTTCTAGTACATTATGTTTACATCTTCTATAATAACTTACTTGTTTGGATTTTCTAAATAGTCTTTTAAGTGGCGGGAGTTAATATTTTTGTTTGCACTTTCACTTAAATCACATTATTGTCATTTTCAACAAAGACTTTCAATTCGTAATTAGGGGAATTTTCAGGATAAAATATTTTGTAGTTTGGTTTTTAACAAGGACTATAGTTCTAACTTTCTTCTTCACTATTTTTTTCCCATATTTTCTTCATAATACACTTGAAATAAAAATTATATTCTAATATAATAGTTAATTAAATTCAATTAACGTTAGTAGGTATTACTTGTCGTTTGTTGACGCTCTCTCTAACAATATGACAAATCAACTGAAATTTATATCTAATTAACTGACTTCAAAAAAGGAGGAGGTTCTCAATTCGACTGTATGTTTTTTTTTTTTTTTTGTATGTATGTTACGCGATAACTCCGGTATTTGTGAACCGATTTTCATGATTTTTTTTTGTTGGAAAGGGGGTACTTCCCTATAGTGGTCCCTTTTCATTTTGAAGAAAATCATCCACCTCTAAGGGTGGCTGTTCCCACATGAAGATTCATTTTTATAAATACCGCCTCAATTTTACTTAAGGAGCAATTATTTTAATGGTTGATTTTGCTATTTCTCCAATTCCAGGCGTTTTTCTCTCAATATACTTTGAGTAGTGAGAACCGATTTTTATTATCTCCAGTGCAAGTCCTGTATAGTGGCGAATTTCAGGATATTTCAATAAAACTTAGCAGAGACGTAATTCCACGTACTTTTGAGGTCGGTTTTTTTAGTACTCTGTACTGAGATTATTTTAATTACCTGTTATATATATATATATATATATTTGATATAGCAGTGATATAAAAGCCTATAATAATCTTTTCAGCTATTTCAAAGTACTGACCTGATTGGGGCCTGTCAGGTTCAGCCCACAGGAGTTGCAGCGGAGACATTCCTCGTGGTAATGGTTGTTGTCATACAGCGGCGATGGTTCTGTAACACCACATACAGTGTTAAAATAGCATTTTTTCCTCAAAATTATCGATAATATCACGTGATCAAAGCTTACTGGTAAGTGAAAGTTTATTTAAGTATATTTATGTATACAAACATACAGTGTTTTTTAAATGAGGAACAGTATGGGGAACTCCGAAACCATAGAAGATACAAGGAAACTGTCTTAGGAACCATTAAGTCTTTTTTTGTGAAAATAAAGTTGGCTTAGTAAATTTTTTGGTCAAGAGTCCATAAAAATAAATAAAGTTGATCAACATTTGTTTTAGTGCTGATCGACTCAGTATTATGAAAAGATCGTTTCATTGTATGGGACAAAAGAAATCGGGACAGCAGAAGTTGGTCAAATTTCATAAAATGTATTTCGAATAAAATGATTGAAACTGATTTTTTTTAATACTGATAGACTCTTCTTATGCGGATGATTCTGACGATATCTGAAATAAAGCCAGAATAGAACCGTATTAGTGCGGGAAAAACTGAAATTCAAGCTGAGGTAGTGTCGACTCTTAAGCAAAATCAGTGTAATTGACATTTTTCAATGAATGAAAAACCTTTAGGTGACATTATCTCCAAAGTTACTAAAATGCAAATGCGTTGTTTAGGAGAAGGAGGGCAGTATAGTGCATGCCGTCGATACGGTTAAGAAGAAGCCTGTGAATGCTTAGTACACTCACGTGTGCTAATATACTGCATAAAATGTGTGTTTCCTGCAAATTCCCTACCTGATGTTTTTGCTATATGTAATTCGTTATTCATCAATGTAGTCATTCTATATACATATATGTATGTATTTTAGCGATTAGACATTTTGCGATTTTATTTGTTTACATCCGGATATACGAAAATAAATACGATAAATAATTATTACTAACTTTTCTTATTTTCTTGTTCTAGAAAATCCGAAGTCGGGACGGTCACAAAATACTTCCCTACCTTTAATAAATCGGTAAGAAAAAGTTAGGCAGTAGGTAAGCAAAAACTCTACCACGATTCCTTTGAAAAAGAAAACCCTATTAGTGAATCCTTTTTATTCGACTTCAAAAATGAAGCCTCTAAAGATTGAGATGAATTCCTAATAAGGGAACAGTCAGAAAAGATTGGACAACATTTTAAAATCTTGACATGGTTGCCAAGCTTATAAAATTTTTAGATCCACCAAGATAGGGGTTAAAAGTGTAACTCTAGCGTATAATTATTCTTAAATGTAATATAAGCTGGAAACTACGAAAATCTTGCAATCACAAGTATGGTTTATTTATTTAACTTCCAAATTTGCGTTTTTTATTAGTCTCAGAAATATACCCATTTTTGTTAGGAAGCAGATTGCTTTAGTTGTGTGGATTTTTTATATTATGATTAACACATATAGAGATAAACTACAATAATCCGCGATCTACATTTATCAATTGAAAATAATAATTTTTAATGCAGTCAATAGAACGAAAAACTATAATATCGTGTTTTCGAACAATATCCTCCGAAGTCGTCGTGTACCTACATCAAAAGTTTCATAATATTTAGGATACATAACATGCCCAGTGTACATAATATGATCATGGGGTATCTAGAAAAATACGTTTTTCATACATAACTTCAGGCATACTCCTTATTATATACTTCTATTTTATACATTGGGCCTTTAGCGCTTTTTCCATCGCAGTTTGCTGGGTCTAAGGAGAATAATACAGAGTCTCGAATAGACCCCAGTCGTAACTATGATATTCTCTGTAAATATTAATAAAATAACTTCATTGGAAAATCTGCTTTTATAAGACTTTGTACGTGGGTACAAAGTTTGAAGATTATATCTCCTGCCTCAATTTCATTACTCGTGTAATAACTTTTTATATGAAATTTGGAATATATTCTGTACAGATCCTAAGGTAACTCATAAATTTCAAATGAGGTCAAAGAACACAGTACTGTTCGAACCGACAATATCCCATCCTTCACGCTATCTAGAAACCTTATTATGACAGGACTATGTTCAAAATATTAACGTATATATAGCATATATTTGACTTATTTTCTAAAGCAATAAAAGTATGAAAAAATAATGTACAGTGAAGTTTATTTATTCAAAATTTCGTCTCTAATAAAGTTGGCAACTTGGTAGATACTTTCCGTCAATATTGATGTGAAATTTGTAATCAAGCAATAATTTTATGTAACTGCCGTCATTGTTAAATTTATTCACAAAATTCGATCCAGTTCTCATAAACTTTCTGCCCTTTATTTTACTTTTATGTAACGCAAAATAATGCATTATTAATGTATTTACAATGATATAGCCTATTGGATTACAGCTACACATTTGTGGTGTGAATTACATAGGCGTATCTATAGTATACTACTGAATATAGAAAACAGCTCATTAGCTTCTGTATAAAAAGTCGCAGGCAGACCTTAATTGAAATATTAAAAAGAAAACCGATAAAAAGCTTATAAAATGTTAATGTGATGCTGTACTGAAGTGCGCTGTAAATAGGTATTTCAACTGTTTTATGGGCTCTAAGGTATTCAGATAGCAATAATAAGAGCAATTTTATATCTACAAGAAAGGCGCAGCCTTGATGCAGTACTAGAGAGTATTGAAATACTGCGGACAAATGCCGCAATTTTTCAGCTTTGCCCGGCTAATGTTGCGTGATCCATACTTACCTAGGTTAGGTTACGTCAGGTATTTTTATTAGAGATGATGTTAGTCGAACATATTACAACAATCATTCATTTTAATTACCAATACAAAGATCGAACACAAAAAAAAGAAAGAACACAAAGAAAAATTCCTTCGATCTGGTTGGTCTCGAACTGAATCGAAGGACGTTTTCCGAGCTATTCAGAACATTCGAGTTAAACGTTCGATCCGGATACGATATCGCTATTCAACAGTGTTTACGGAGTTAGTCGGTGAAATAGATTATAAGAAAAATGAAAATCCTTTTATATACATTTTTAAGACTTTAAAAGCCAATATTTTAATATAGGAATACATTAGTCTTGCATTAAAATAAATTCATAAAATTGAACAAACTCCAGACCTTATTTAAAATAATAAGAGATTTCCATATAACATTCTTGCTTTGTAAACAATAGGACGTTCGGTAACTTTCATTCGACTTTGCCGGTCGAGAAGTTCGAGTAATCGTACGGGTGTAACGTCATTTCGATTCGGCTTCGAATATGACAGTTTGACGTTCGATTCGGGTGTTGTGAATAGAAATTAAAAGAAAACGTACGATATCAAATCGAATCGGTCGACTACTGAGTTATCTTAAGGTTTTAATTCGACCCCCTTGTGACGGTGTGATCTCCTTACACCGTCATCCCACCTTTTTGTATCACCTCTCTCCATTCGTATCGAATCGTTTTTTCTTCTTCTACTTATATTTAAATTGAAAATTTTGAATTGTTCCATTATTTCCGTCGCATTCTGATTTTGTTTCGTTCCATCGTCACTCTCTGCGTGATCGCGGTAGCAAAAACATCTACTTTCTTATTTTTGAATCGTTTATCACTTACTTAAATCTCTTGTACACCGTTTACATTTTAGGATATTAATATTGTTGTTGTACTGAATAAATTCCTATAAACCGGACTTTCTTCTTTTCAACTGCTAAAACTTGCTAAGTAAGACGTATGGAGGCTGCGGGGGTTGCGGAGGCTATTACTACCCTTGGTCCAAGCTGTATTACTGCTATCCAGGCTATTTTACAGTCTACAGAACGCCACCAGCACCAGCAGCGCTATTACACCCTGGTCCCCGATTCAGAAGTCTTCGATATTTTAACCAATCGTTCGATTGAATATCGTTCTCGAATGAAAGGGCGCTTTCTGAACTATTTAGAAATTTCGAGTTAAACGTTCGATTCGGTTACGATATTATTATCCAACAGCGTTTACGGAGTTAGTCGGTGAAATAATTTATTTCATATATAAGAAAAAATAAAATATTTTTATATACTTTTTAACACTAAATTATAGGAATGCATAAGTTTAGCATTAAAATAAATTAATAAAACCTTATAAAATCTAGACTTTATTTAAAATATTAAGAGTTTTCCATATCACATTCTTGCTTTGTAAACAATAAGACGTTTGATGTAATCGTACGGGTGTGACGTCATTTCGGTTCGGTTTCGAATAAGACAGTTTGACATTTGATTCGAGTGTTGTGAATAAAAATGAAAAGAAATTGCACGACATCAAATCAGTCGACAACTGAGTAAGGTAAGGTAAGGTTCTGAATCCACCCCCTGGTCATACCGGGGTTGGTGAGGTAGCCGGTTCGAATCCAGGCGTATCATAGGAAATTTGTTTGTGTTCAATCTTTGTGTTAATAATTAAAATTTTACGGTACCAATGTCACGTTTTCGACGCCAGGGGGTAGATTCATAACCTTACGATAACTCAGTTACCGACCGATTCCATTTCATATTGTACGATTTCTTTTCATTTTTATTCACAACACCCGATTCGAACAGTCGTATTCGAAACCAAACCGAAATGACGTCACACCCTTACGATTACTCGAGCTTCTCGACTGGCAAAGGCTACAAACGTTATTCAGAACACAGTTATCGAATGTAAGTTACCGAACGTCCTATTGTTTACAAAGTAAAAATGTAATATGGAAATATTTTATTATTTTAAATAAAATCTATTTATTCTAATGCGAATCTCATGCATTCCTATATTTAAGGCCATTAAAATCTTAAAAATGTATATAAAAGGATTTTCATTTTTCTTATTATATATTTCACCGACTAACTTCGTAAACGCTGTTGGATAACGATAAGATATTCGAGAACGATATTCAATAAAACGATTCGGTTAAAATATCGAAGAGTTCTGAATCGGGGCCCTGCCTGGTCTGTTTTGTTCAAATTGACTACGGCAATGTTAATGTTATGGTAGTAGACGGTACAATATTGGCGACGATCTCGTTATCGCTACGTTTTCGTTAGATCGAACTT